TTTGGTACCAGAGATCGAACTCAGGCCCTTGTGCTTCTGAGGCAGGGAGCAGAACCACTGGGCCAAATCCCCAGCCCAGGTTTTTAAATCTTGAAACAAAATTTTACAGCCATTATTTTATCTCATATTGAACCACTTGTTTTTTGATCCTGGGTATCAAACTCAGGACCTTACCCCTGCTAGGGAAATTCTCTACCTCAGAGCCTGAGGCCTACCACTCATTTTCACTAGTAAAACAATAATTGTCATAGCCACTCTGCCTATTCCTGGTGCTTGGTAAGTCTCACTCTCTTATCTCACTTAGCTTGTATTTAATACCCTTTCTTTTATCACTGACTGCGTACTCCGATGCATCTCTCTGGCTAATATCTCTATCCTTTCCATGTTGGTCCACCCATCCGTACCTTACAGTCACGTTCTGGTTAGGATCATTCTAACCTGCTCTTCGATCTAGACGTCTGTAATCTAGACCATTTCTATCTTATTAAAATCTAGACTTTACTTCTAAGATTAACTTTCTTTTATGCTATTCCAATGAAATTGCCTTGAACCTTAACATATAAACTACACTGTCTTGACTGTGAAAACAAAATGCCTTTAAGATTACCAGTAATATTGGTCTCATTCAAATCTTTGCTCCTAAATTCTTAGAAATATGTTTTATTACCTTCAAGCCATCATTTTTTTATCAAGTTCTACTTTCTTAATACCCACTTGTGTCATCTTTCCTCTATTTTTGCCCTGGTGTTTGGCTGCTTACATCGCTCCTATGACAGGTCATCTTTTCGTCTAACTGTTCCATTAAAAATTTTTTATTTTTAGGAATCTAAATTTTGCTTCACTTTTCATGTATTTTCTTATTTATTCACTGCATCACTGAGGAAAACGAAATAAAACAAGTTATAAATCTTGTCAACTAAATGCTTTAGAGCAAACACACACAAAAATATACAATAAAAAAAGCTGATGCTGTTTCTTATCTCAATTTCATAACCCAAAGACCTTGTATCAAACTGAATTCTCTGTGCATAACCCAAAACATCTATCACTGTCTATAAGACAGAAAATTATATTTGGTATGCCCCATGAAAATTTCATGTACTGCAAACATGTAGCAACAAAAATTAAAAGTAATGTACTACATACCTTAAATTATTAAAGAAAAAAATGATTGGAGGTATAAGTATAATCTATGCACACATGTGTTAAAATTAACATTGCTCAAGAGTTTCTTCTCATAAAAGTAAAAACTCTTCTTTAAAGGGTAAATATGTGTATGTGTGTATGTATGAGGTATAGCATAAAGTAGGCTCAATCCTATTATTTATTAAGAGCTTTAGATAGTGCAAGACCAAAATTTCAGCCTTGATTTTTCAAAGTAAGTCTTGAGCTATTAAACTGAACATCCCACAGGAATAAACAAAGAAGAAACTAAGAGAGTCCCAGGGTTGAGATTAATCATCCTAACAGATGCCACTTGAATAGTAAAGATGGGCCAAGAAGATCCTCTATCAAAGTACTGTATTATAGTGGGGAGTGGTATGACAGGGGACAGGACGAGGGATGAAGGAAAATGTAAAACAGAACAAGCAGAGACTAGTAAAGGTCGCCTGTAATCCCAGCACTCTGAGAGGTTGGGCAGGAGGATCACCAGTTCCATCCCAGCCTCAAATTAAAAAAATAATAATAATTTAAAAGGCATTGATTTCAATCTCCGGTGCAATAACAAGAAAAATAATTAAATAAAAAGAGATCTTTAACATCTAATAATGCAAAAATCTGAGAGCTAGAATTAACACAACTCTCTATACTTGAGGGCAAAACAAACCCAAACAATAGGATGTCCAGGGACACAACAAATCAAATCTTCCCTTAAATCCCAGATAAACAATTCACCTTCAAAATGCTTCTGATGGAGGTAGGATGGAGCTTAAAACTAGAGCACTTGCCTACAATGTGCAAGGTCCCAGAATCAATCCCCAGCTCCACTAAAAACAAAACAGACTCCTGATACACAATCACAAAATGACACAACTATGTCTCTGGGATCAAAATAAAATGAAACAGCAAAGAGCCATAAATAGAGTAAACAAAAACTTTAAGTTGAAGGGTAAAAAGGGTTGAAGGGAGGAGAGGGGAATGGGAAAAAAAGAGGAATCAAGATATATTATGTACAGGTACAAATTCCTTATGATGCATGTGATCATATGCATGTCTAAATTGTACCAATAAAATTAATTTTAAAAAACTTTAAATTGAAAGGAGAGTGGCACAAGAGAAGAAATATTTTTGTAATTAACAGCTTTCTTCCATGTTGTCATATTACTAAAGACATTAGATAATGTCAAATAAATGACGGTATGGAATCTATGCCTTCATTCAGTGAAGTTGGGCCACCATTTGTGCCCAGGTCTCGTTTCTCCAAAAAAATAAAAGGGAAATTATATAATTTTATATAAGTAACAATCTAGAAAAAAAGAAATATATCCTCTCTTTCTAATCAAAATTTAATTTCTCATTTGTTTTTATGTAAGAATGCTCTTTAAAATAGTACTTTTTACCAGCTTCTCTCCATGCAGGTAAAAGCTTTAAATCTTAAGAATAAGTATCAGCTCACATTATGGCTTGCAGCTACGAACTTGTCTTAAATCTCAAAGACTTGAGACTTGGACTTTTCAGCAGTGCTGAAACTGTTAGGACTTTGGCAACTCTGAGAGAATGATTAAATGTCTTTTGCATAAAGGTAGGTACATGAGTCTTTGGGAGGCCAGGGGTGGAATGTTATGGCTTGTGTCTAGATGTCCCCCCAAAGCCTCATGCGGTTGTAGGTGGGGCTTTTTCTGAGGTGACTGAATCTAGAGTGTGTGATTCATTCAGGTGAAATGCTAGGCTCAAGGGCACTAGGATGAAGGGTGTGACTGCCACCTGCCCTATGGAGTATGGGTGGGCAAGGGACAGAAAGTGCTGTGGTTGTCCCTTGTTGCCTTTGTCATGTTCAGCTGCCATGAACTGTTGCCCCTCTGTCATGTGCCTTGGAGCCAGCCAATTATGGACTGAAGCCTCTATAAACTGAGCTAGATAAATCTTTCTTCCTTGAACTGAGGGTGTCAGGTATTTTGTCTCAGCAACTAGAAAAGTAACTAAGACAGTTCATTTTAATGGGTGAAAAGAAATCAGAGTCTGCTTTTTATCAGTAAAAGATTAAGGCTCAATAATTGGATGTCATTTTCTTCTTACTCTAGAAAAATACATGTGTTTTCCTCTGCCACGATAGAACGTATTGGGAGAATCAGAAGTCAAAATGGAAAGGCGAAGATTCAAATGCAGAGATTACCATGAACTGATGCAAATTGTATTGGCTTCTAAATATTTTTACACTGAATTGTGTTTGGTACATCATATTTTAAACAACTGTTCTCCTTAAGACCATAGGTTCAAACACCAGCAGAGAGGTTTATAATTGCTCACAAAGACTAGTAAGCTATCAAATGCCACACAGTTTAATGTAGGATGTTAAGAATCACTGTATGGAAAATGATACTTCAAGTAGGAACATTATGTTTTTAATGAAACAGATACTTAGTTCTCTAACACATCTTGATGTTCCAAGCACAACTGATCACATACGGAGAAACAAATTCTAAATAGGCACAGCATGGAACATTCACTCCACTAAATACAGTATACCTGATCTTTTCTTCGCTTACCTGATAATGAGCCTGGGCTTGCTGTGCCGAGTTCAAGGTAACATTACAGAGTTTGCAGTATAGGGGCTTACATAGCTCCTCCAGGGCAGAGTCTTGCTCCCCTGCCTTAGGTAATTCTTCTTCCCCTGCCAGAGGCAAGGAAGTCTCCTGCCCAAAAGGCTTCTGTTGTGGAAGCTGCAAGGTTCCTGTAGACCTGGTGGCCACTGACATAGGAGGAGAGTACGAAGGCTGCTTAGGTGGAGGAAGCCCAGCGTGTTGCAAGAGGATCATTGGGTAGAAAAGCCTTGTGCATAATCCAGTGGTCAATGAGACGTCAAGTCTTCAAATCTGAATCCACAGGGGGGAAAAAAACTTAGAAATGAGAGCTCAGCAATATGACATGTAAGTAAATGACACCACCATCTGATCTTTCCTCTATTTCTCCAACCTATCTTTGGGACTTCTTCCTTTTTGCCTCATCTAGAAGACTTCCCCTGCCTGCTAATTCGCATTGACACAATCTTCTTCCACTGAGAATGGCTTTACAGATTTGACTTCATGTCACTTGGCACAGCTTCAACTGCCATCCCTCCGGCCTATCAACATTAATAGCATTGCATCCTTAACTAATTAAATCTAAAAGTCATGTGGCTGAAGTGGACATCAAAGGTCACCCAGTCCAGGCCCCTTCCCTCAGGCATACTTAAATACCCTTCATAATAATTATGCATAGTCCAGAACAAAAACAAAAAACAAAAAAATCCTACCAGCTGAGAATCTTACCAAACACCTCTTTTCCATCCACGTGATGTCAGAGTGAAAAAAACAGTAGAATCTGTGAAGTACTTCTACAACTAGCTAAAATATCAAGGAACTTTAGGCATAACCCAGAATTAAAATGTGATAGAGATACATAAAAACTGGTCCTTTTGATCAATTAGCAATACTTAAGTAGTTGAGCCAGTGATTTCTTACAGCAGAGGTTAAATGTCCTGTGGTCCACACACTGCCACACATGTATGTACTGTTTGAAATGTGGTGTTTTTGTTATGCTTTCATTTTTTAAATTGAATTCATTGTTGATATTTAAAAATCAAGAGATTGTCAAGCACAGTGTCTCCTGATTAAAGCAGGATCTGGAAGGAGACCCTCCACAGTCCTCCACAGGGAACAACCGGTAGGTTAGCCCGGGGGCAGAGTCCTCTACCAGGCATGCCTTCCCCATCACCTTGGTCCTCCTCGCTCAGGGTGCTTCCATGGCCCCTTGAGTTTTTGATCCTACCTCTTATGTCCTTAAACTATATTCTCGAGTTCCCTGTAAAAATCAAAATATTTTCTCTCCTATACGAGATAAACAACCTGCACAAATTTCCAGTTGGTAAATACGGACCAGTAATGAATCACATTCCCCTATTCCTATTATAATTCCAATTCCTCAATCTTCAGCTGTTTCTTCCCCGTTGCCAATTAAATAACTAACAGTTCTAATTCTATTTTACTCTGAAAGACCCAGTAAGTTCTGCTCAATCTTCAACCTTTATGATTTCTCTCGCCTCCCACCCAGATAGCATTTCTAATTCTGAGTCTCTCATAATGAACTACAATGCACCCTGAGTTCCCAGGGTTCTAATTAACCCAAATTAGGATCCTTATTACAAAGTCTACAATTCCCTCCACTCTCTCAATATTATTAAACTCTTTTCCTGGTCAATAGAATACGGCTATTTTAAGCTGCTGTGATTTTCCATCACTAATGAAAATGTATACATTACAGCAACAGATTTACAGAAATGAATCAAATTTTGAAAAGTTAAAAGCTTATTTTACCATCTTTTTAAAGTACAAAGTACCAAGAAATTGCAACCAAGTTAACAACTTTTATACTAAGTTCATAGTCTGGGCACTGGAAAGGAAATTACTGTGATTGAAAAATGGAATAGTTAAGGACAAAGAAGCACAGAAGTTAGACACAGAACTTAAAAATATTTTTCATTAATCAGATTTAGAAAAATGATACTAGTTGACCCAAGCAGAAGTTCGTTGCCCATTATTTTTAGGAACATAAATATGCTTTTAGAAAAGCAATGTGGCTTTATAACATTTAAAAAGCTAGATTCTCTACAGTGATCTTATTTCTCTTGAATTAAATCAAGCAAAGATATCCAGAAAGCAAAGATGGATATGGGCAGTTTAAAAAGGGAAACCAAAGAGTCGAAGACCAGCTTTGTAAAACTTTAACTACCTAATTAAAACTGATGAAGTTAGAGGTTACCCATGCAGGGCTATAGTCCTTCTAATGCTAAATCACCACAAACACGCTGCTAATTCACAAGAAAAAGGGTAGAAGAAGGTGTCAAAACCTCTGGATAAGGAAATCAGCACTATAAACAGAAAATCAAATGCTACCAATTACCAAAACATGTCTGGACTTGTTTTATGAATGCTCACGGCCACTTGAGGAAATTCAAGCATCTGTCTCCCCCAGTGTTTCCTACAGGTTTCCATCAAAATAAAGGCCCTTAAGTACTGACTTACAAAAGGCCTCTTTTCACAGGAATGGAATTAAAGAATAACTTCTTGTCCATACAGATTTACCTATGACTGCATTTTATCTTTATGTTTAAGGAACAGATATTCCAAAATTTCTGGTGCTGTATTTAACAATCTACATAACATTAATTCCCCCAAGATATGTCAGTTACAACAGGTATTATTACATTTGCAAACTAAAATTAGCAAAAAAATAAATGCATCTAAAATAAATAAGACCAAGCCTTCAGTAACTACACAATGGTGGATTACAGAGACGCCAAACTCACTTGCACCTCAAACACATTCAACAGCAGAATTGGTTTTAAAAAGACTAATCTGCAGGCTGATAAAAATTAATTCTTCAGATCTTAAAAACCTCTCAAGTTGATGCTTGCAGGATTTATGGTGGTAAATGTCCTGGTCTGAACAGGGGCTGAAAAGGCACTAAAGAAAATCAAAGCCCCACGAGGTACCCTATTTAAAGAAAATGAATTATAACAGCATACTTAGTTTTCATGATTGGATTGAGGCCTAGTCTTGAATACCTACTGAAGACAACTGCTTTCTCATTTGGAGAAATCTACACAGGAAAGAGAAGAAAACACAGAAACAGGATTCTGCATCTCAGCAACTAGGTAAGGCTGTCACTGGGAATCGTGGGAAACGAGGGAAAGACGGGGAACACTACTCAGAGGTCATCAGAACACAGCAAAAGGAATGAGAAGGAGAAATCAGAAAATTAATCAGCAGAGGCAAGGTGTAGGATAGAGGGGAGGCTCAAGAGAACACAGGAGACTGGGGAAGAGGCCTTGGTGGACGGGCCAATGTTTTCCAGCCGCAGCGAGGACGGTTGCGAATCCCAGGGAAGCATTTATATATGCAAATCAGAGCTCCAGCTACCTCGGCATCGCCCACATCTACCTTGAATCCTCGGGATGTGCACGCACACACAGGAAAACGCGCGCACCGCACACACCTCGAGCCCGCAAGGATGCCATCAGGAAGATGGAATCCCCGCCTCCCACCGGCGGCGAGCGCGCCGGCCACAAGAGCCGCAGGGCGCACGTGAAGGCTTCAAGCAAACACATACACAGGAGCGGCGCGAGCGGCGTCACGTGGAGGGCAGGTGGCCCGACAGCATCCGAGGGGCGGCCAGCGCCCC